AGGTCCCGATGGGGGGGGTCAGGTCCCGAGGGGGGGGGGTCAGGTCCCGATGGGGGGGTCAGGTCCCGAGGGGGGGGTCAGGTCCCGATGGGGGGGGTCAGGTCCCGAGGGGGGGGTCAGGTCCCGAAGGGGGGCGGGGGGGGGGGGGGGGTCAGGTCCCGGGAAAGGGGGGGGAGGGGGGGGGGGTCGGGTCCTGCGGCCCGCGCCGCCGTGCGTCCTGAGGGGGGGTCAGGTCCCGCGGCGCCGTCCGTCCTGAGAGGGGGGCCAGGTCCCGCGGTGCCTTCGCCTTCCGTCTTGAGGGGGGGTCAGGTCCTGAGAGGGGGTTTCAGGCCCCGTCCTGAGGGGGGTCAGGTCCCGCCCAGGGCCACGACGTGCGCGCGACATGCGCGTTAAGGGCCTTCTCGGGGCCCTCTGGGAGCGTTCCTGGGCCTCCCAGGCGGGCCCCGCAAGGCCCCAAGAGGGCCCGGGATGGCTCCAAGAGAGCCCCAAGAAGGACCCAAGGGCGCACGTCGTGCGCACGTCGTCGTCGTCCTGGGCCCCAGGGCCACGACATGCGCACGACATGCGCGGTAAGGGCCCTCTCGGGGCCCGCTTGGGGCGCTCCTGGGCCTCCCAGGCGGGCCCCGCAAGGCTGCAAGAGGGCCCTGAGGGGGGTCAGGTCCTGAGGGGGGTCAGGTCCCCCCCCCGCCCCCGCCGCGTCCTGAGGGGGGGTCAGGCCCCCTCCGATCCCCGCCGTCCTGAGGGGGGGTCAGGCCCCCCCGCCCCTCCAGCCCCGAGGGGGGGTCCGGTTCGGCCGGTTCGGTTCGTCGGGCCGGTTCGGTCCGGCTGGTTCGGGTCAGAGGCTGGCGCGGTCTGGTTCGGCCGGTTCGGGTCGAGGACCGGTCCGGTTCGGCCGGTTCGGTTCGGGGGCCGGTTCTCGGTTCTCGGTTCGGTTCACGGCCATCATGTATAAAAGCACGAAGACATGGAAGCGTCGGACGAGACAAATGCGAAAGGGTCAGGCCCGAAATGCATCGACATGAAAGAATAACCTGGAGACTCAGACCCGGGGGGAACGTAGCCCAAACACGAAAGATCAAATCTTCAGGCCCGAAGGCCAGAACGGCTCAGATCAGAAAAGCAAACAACTCAAACCCGAAAGGCTCAGACCAAAAGAATCAGAACAACCCACGTGGAAGACTCAGACCAGAAACGCACGGAAAGTCAGGCCCGAAAAAAGCCCCCCCCACACACACACACACGCGCACACAAAAAAAACGACCCCCATGACAGAACAAAGCAACGCAGACCCGCCAGACTCAGACCCAGAATATTCAGACCCGAAAAGCATAGGAACAATTCAGATCCAACGATTCAAACCCGAGAAATGAGAAAACAAGTCGGACCCGAAAGGCCCAGAACCGAAGGACCAGAACATTCAGACACGACAGAGTCAGACCTGAAAAGCCCGAAACGCGGAGACCCCGAAAGGCTCCGTTTCAGAATAGCATGATAGAGACCGCGCGATAGAATCGCACTCGCTGGAAAAATGAAATCTGGATTTAATTGCGTGGCGGCGCGGGTTCAAGAAACAACGGCCCAACCTATTAAATCTAGATATTATGTGTATATATATATAATATTGATTCCATTGCTTACCGCAGAGAAAATTTCCAATACTTTACCCATGCCCCAACAATTGCCCAACCAAATTCGACCGGATTTGAAATGGCAAAAAAAAAATGAAACCTAAAAACTTAATCCACGATTGACCCGGGTCTGGATTGACCCGGGTCAGTAGATCCCCGAGAAGGGGGAAAAGGGGTTTCGAAATCTGTTGCGTCCGTCGTTCGTCGCCGCCGTCGTCACGATCGTGGTTGAGGTAGTCGTGCAGTCAACCCGCAAAGTAAAGATGAGCAACTTCCTGAGGTTACCCTTGCATCCTTACCTCCTCGGTCCAGCCTTGGCCATTTTCGCTGGCCGCGCCCCGCTCGAAACGCCTCGAAATGGCCTTCCAAGGCCCTTCCATCGTTATCCCGCGTCCTCACGACATGGGTCGACTGAGTTGTATAGTCGAGGTGGTCGTGGTCGTCGTCGCGCCGGCGATTTGCCGAGGTGGACCGCCAGCTCAGGAGGACAGACCTGGCCCGCTTCTTCGCCAGGGTCCCGGAGGCCGAGGTCGCCGAGCCTCTCTCTGGAGAGAGAGAGAGGGCGAGGCGAGGCGAGGCGCCCGATGCCGCTCGGCGAGTGCGCCTGGAGGGCCTCCTGAGGAGGCCACCCCTGCAGAGGTCCGGGGATTCACAGTATAGGCACCCGTCCGGTTTCGACTACACGTCAGAGTGGCGTTCGCCAGAGCGACCTTGAGTGCGGGCTCATCGGGGTCCCCCCGATCGCTGAGCGCGATGCGACAGCGGCTGATTCGCGCTTGGTTTTGGCCACCTTGCGCCCCCTCTGTCCGCGCACAAAGGGTCACTCTTGCCCATGATCACCCTTGTGTGTAGCCGATAGTTCCCCAGTATCCCCATCAGAAGCCTTCAGTCCAGCGTTTTCGCAGTCCGTGTCGTGGCCGCGCTGCAAGTTGTCAGAGCATCTACCGAGATTGAAACATGACCGCTGTTGTGGCGCTAGAGCCTGAGAGTTGTTGGCGCTTCGCGTACCCCTACCAGCCCATTCAGAAATGATGCCCAGGCAGAAGACAGCTGGTTAAACGAATGCTCGCGAGCAGGCCGATGACGAGGAGGACGAGGACGAGGATGAGGACGAGGAGGAGGAGACCGAGGACGAGGAGGAGGAAGACGAGGACGAGGCGGAGGAGGAAGCAGAGGAGGACGAGGAGGACGAGGACGAGGACTAGGACTCTGCCAGACATCGTGGCGTCTTCTTGAGGAACTCGCTCCCTCGGGGCCCCCTCGGAACCCTCTCGTGGCTGCTTTGAGAGTCCTGGGGCCCTCTTGTGGCTCGGCTGGTGGGTCTTGGACGACTCTTTCTTTGGGCCATCTTGGAGAGCGCCGATGCAAAGACGAGGGTTCCTCAACTCAGGTCTCCCCTCCATAGCCCTTAACATCGCCCCTCGTGGGCGCTCTGCGGCGCTCTTGCGGCCGTCCTCGGGGGCCTCTTCGGACCCTCCTGGAGCTCTCTTGGGTCAGCTTGGGACCATCTTGAGGCCTCCGACGCCCGTCGGAAGCGAAACGGCGAGACGGAGAAACGTGTGGATTTCCCAACCGTGTTTCAAGGATAGGGCACCTCTGGAGAGCCCTTTGGGGGCTCCGAGAGCACTTGGATTCGTCTTGTGGGTTTCTTTGGGCTCTTGGAGGTACGTTGGAAGTTATCTTGAGCCAGCGTGGCCATCTTGAGCCACCTTGGAGCATCGGAGGGCCGCTTGGAGCCATCCCTGGCTAGGGAGGATCCCCTGACACATGGCGGGTGGACACGACACACCTCAGGGAAGGGAGGCGGGGGAGGGTACCCCTGGTTGAAAGGAAGGGGGCTTCTGCAAGAGGGAAAAGGTAGTTGTGCTAGACCACTTACCCCCAGAGGGCTGGTGGGATTATCTCGGCTGGCAGCTTACTTTCTGCAACCACATGAGACTGTGATATACCAACGTCTCCAAGCCGCTTGGAACGAATGCCATTCACACGAGAGTTTCTTTTCCGATTGCACTCCTTACGCGATCGGGTCTGGATATTAAATGCCATTATGATGGCAACAATAATGTATGGATGTGCCTGTCTTCTGCATGGACTCTGGCGGCTGTGTCAGAAAAGACTTGCATATTTTCACGCCACATGGTCGGATCCTATATCCAACTTCGCCGTCGTGCAGCAGCCGATCGTTGTAAGTCAGTTACACCAGAGAAAAAAACCCAATCAGTGGATGGCTCCCAGACATGATCGCGTCGTAAAAACATCCGGACGGCGGGTTTTCGGCCGTTTCCGCCTCGTGGGGCCCTCGCCGGGCCTCGTGACCGTCAAAAAATTATTCAGGATGAAAAACCGGTCCCGGGGAAAGGGTCGGGATGTCCGGGGACGCCGTCCTGAAAAAAATCAGGACGTCGCATGATTGGGTTTCGCTGAGGAGATCGACCGGGAACCCCGGAGCCGGGAACCCAGAACCCAGCACCGAAATCGGCCCGGAACCAAATCATTGGGAACCCAGGAACCCGGAGCCGGGAACCCAGGAACCCCGCCTGCCACCAAAATCGACGAGGAACTCGCCAAATTTTTCAACTTCCGCTAGGACCCCTTCAGTGCAAGCACTGATTGGGGAAGAGTCCATTGGCACGCCGCCTTGTTTGAATTGTTTGGGCCCATGCTTCTGATAATTAGATGCGGGTTAGGAATGTTCTCGTGCTTGAAGTATCGCATTCGCAATTTCGAATGTTTGAGCTTTTGCCCAGGGCTCTAGCGATCGTCCCTAAGGGTCCTCATTCCCATACGTGTGATGTCCACGCTCCTGGTCTGTTGTCGCACTCTGCCGCTGGACCAATTTGCGCGGTGCAATCTGCTCCCACGATCGTGTGTTATTTGCGCGTCCTGGCATTCCAGAGGTTCCTTGAAGAGCGCGCCACACATGGTCTGGCTGTGAGTGTCGCTGTAGCTGCTGTATGGGAAGCAAGTTGCTGTGAACCTTCCCCGCAGTCGCATCAAGTCTACGTCAACGCAAGCAAGCCTCTTACAGTCCACCCGCATAGTAAGTACTGGCAACCTTCCCAGATGCACCCTTGCATCCTTGCCCCTTCGGCCCATACGTAGCGACTTTCGCTGGCCAGCCTCGTTCGAAAAACGTTCGCGTAGGCCTCCAATGCCCTTGCATCCTCACCGCGCATTCTTATGATACGGGTTGACTGTACTCAAAGCGACAAGTTCGTACATACTTCGCCCACCATGCATTCACGATCGTACCAACACCATGTAGACAGCCATCTCCTCGGGCTCGTGCAGAGCGTGTTCTTCGCGGGAAGTCCGCGCTTCTGGTTTGATTGGCCTCATGGCTTGATTGTGCAATCTATCCCGAAGCATGCCCGCCAAGAACCCAACCACTTCTGCACATCGCTCTTCACAAGTAATTATCTCCATTCATGTAGGTAACAACGAATGGTGGATTCAAATGGCTGTCTTTAATTTCCGTCAGTCCTTTGCGAGGGTTGGGCGACAGAGAGAGGGCAGATTCGTGGAGGGAGCGCGCCTTGCCCAGGGTACTCCTTAGGAGGGCCCCCGATGATTCCTCTCGTGAGGGCGGTGCGGTCGTCGTGCCGACGGCAAGGCTAGCTTGCCTGGCTTCTTGGGATGGCCCCCGATGCTCCCTCTCGTGAGGGCGGTGCGACTGTCGTGCGGACGGCCGGACTAGCGTGAAGCGAGTCGAACGGCTTTTCAGGGACCTCTCCCAGAGGAGGAAAGCTATCCACACTTTTGCCATTTCGCCCATTTTCCCCTTCTTCGGCCTCCTGGGAGGCTCTTGTCGCCACCGCTGGATTCGCCTCGAAGTCCTGGTCAGACCGCGCCCCCAGAGAGGTCCATAACTGGCAGATACACTCATGGGCATGCAGCAGTGCAGGAGACGGAATACTCATCCTCGCCAACGTTGTCCACACCTTGCTTTCCCTTGCTTTCAGTTGGAGCTGAATCTATGGCTGTGTCAGTTCCATAAGTACTGGCGTGCTCGGCAGGCAGGTGCACTATTGGCCCGCCAGGCCTGGTTTACATGATCGCATCAACCCATGGTGCACGCAGCATGGAGTACAGCCAAGAAAACAGGTAACAGCTCGGGGTCGGAAGGGGTTCGCTGTTCCTTAGTTCCTTCCATGGTTGTTCCTGTAGGGCTCCTCGCACACCCAGGCGCTTCTGGGTGTCCGAATCGAGGCTTCGTTCCTCATTCATCGTTTTTAGTGGAAGCACAAGAGGTCGTCATCGGAGTTGCGAGATGACAGTCCCTCTGGAATTGATCAAGAGGTCAAGGAGATGAGCTCCGCCCTGTCGTCGCTCCGCAAGGTGACCAAGCGTCACGAGGATGCAGAGTTCGAGGAGCCTTGAGCACATGCTTGATTTCTTCTGCTGTGCGATGCACGTTTCTTCCCTCGGCTCGGCGGTCTCCTCATATCCCGCGCTTTCTGTCGTTCCTCATTATGTCGGCTCTCGTGCTCGGCGTCATGTCGGCATTTTTTGTTTTTCTCTTTCTCTCTCGCTCTGTATGTGCATATATACATACATACATACATCCATCCATACATCCATCCATCCATCCATACATACATACATACATACATACATACATACATACATACATACACACAAATATGTGTATGTCTCTCTCTCTCTCTTTCTCGCCTCGTGGCATCTCTTGTGACGCTTGCTTCTCCCAGCTTACCCATGATGATTTGAGCTGTTTCTCCTCGTCAAAGGAGTGGCAGTACCGATACCGCTGCTCGTCCTGGAGCGCACTCGTCTCCACGGCTGGATTCTCCCCGAAGCTCGGGTCAGTACGCATCCTGAGAGAGACCCGGGGAGTAGCGGTGTCGGTACCTTCCTGTTCTCCCAATTTCTTGGCAGTTTACGACACCGTTGGGCTTTGGGAGTTGTCGTTGATGCTCCAGGCGAGCGTCTTAAGAACGCCGAACTTGCTGGAATCGTCTGTGGTCTGCCTGTTGGTTTCCTGAGGCGCATTCTCCGTCCGAGCGGAAGCGACAGCCAGCAATAGTTGCCCCAGGCGGTAAACAAACCAAATTTGTGCTGCGCGCGCGATGTTCAGGCCAGGCAGTTATGTCTCGCACACGTGTTGCAATTGCGAAGATGATCGCCCCAGTTGGATCTAGTTGCAGGCTCGCCACCAGGGTGACTTTAATGGCTGTTGTTTGCGTCTGGCTTTCTCTGGCCAGAGGCATGCTCATCGGAAGTCTGGATGGTTCAACTTGAAGTATCTTCCACGACCGGCATGGACAGGTTGGAGATAATCAGCTTCAAGAGAATTTAGGGTCAGCCTGGATCCAGGGCCTGGCCAGGAGCCAGAATACCGAACAAGTCTCGAGCACAGGGGAGCACGCGAGAGTTGCAGGAGGCTCGTACCTTGTGCCATCTGAGTGCCCCTCACCAGCGGCGGCGGCGGCGGCGACGACGACGACGACGACGGTGACGATGGCGACGACGACCACGATGACGACGACGAGACTTGATCCTCGAAGCCTAGCGAGCCAGCACAGGGCGGCACGGCCAGGAGAATTTGGCGCTCGGAGCCCACATGCCATCACGTCAGGTGCCATGGGGGAGCGCGAAGAGATCAGGGGCAACGACAGGGGGCATGTGATCGTTTTCTTCTTCATTGTGTTGCCGATCGGCGCGGGCCCTCGCACCTCTTCCCATGGAGTAGATCGGGGCTGCTTCTTGGAGCCCGTTTCAAGCAGGTGGAGTCTCCCCCATGGGACGCACTGCTGCAAACAGTCGTATTGAGCAGAGGTCCAGAGCCACATCCCCCCCTCCCCCCCTTCCGCCCAAGGGCGTCACGCCGAAAAAGAAAACGTTGACCATGGGGGGTGTTCATCGACCCCCAAATCGCCCACTCATCGCCGATAGGGGCCTGATAGCCCCAACTCGCCCAGGAACGTGCGGACTGACCATCGGTCACCGGGTGCGTTCCAATTCTCGTAAAGTGCCTACTCGCAAACGTCCGAAAAAAATGGTCCCTTCGATGTAATTGGGTCGTAAATCTTCCTCGGCTGAGCCATGCCATTTGCGAGTAGTTCCTTTGCGAGTCGTGGACCGCACTCGTCTCATCGGATTTAACAGTGATGTTCGAAGAAAAAACTGTGTAAATATAAACTTTTGGCGCTCCTCGCGGATTTTTGGGCTCCGCGCTGGGCCGCCCCCATGGCGGCGCCTCTGGCGCCGCCCTGGCGCGCTCCGCGCGCCAGGGAGGGTTGCACAGCTCAGATCCAAGAAATCCACGCGGAGCGCCAACAATGGATTTCCATGCGGTTGTTTGTCTTAGATGTATCGCCGATTCCGGGTCGATGTTCCTCCGCCCCCCCTGTACCAGTCCCTATCGCTGCCCCCTCCAAAAGCACCGCGCACGCCTCTCGCTGTCCGGGCCAGAGAGTTTGGTCCCTCTCCCCAGGGGCAGCCGCGCGGGGGGAGGGGGGGGCAGATAAGCACAGGGCGCCGCGCGGCGCGACAACACGCGTGAAGCGAGGTTTCGCGGCGAGCGAGGTTCTGCACCTCCTCTTCCTCCTCCTCCTCCTCCTCCTCCTCCTCCTCCTCCTCTTCCTACTCCTCCCCCTCCTCCTTCTTCTCCTACTCCTCCTCCCCCTCCAGTTGGCGGCGAGCGAGGGGGGAGGTGAGAAGGAGAAGGACTTCTCAGAAGACGGCGGGGCTTCCCAGAAGCCCTCCGGCCTTCTGAGAGGTTCCCCGTGTCTTCGGGGAAGGTTTGGAAAGCTTCTCAGAAGGCTGGTGACTTCCGAGCCTTATGAGCAGGCCCGCCCCTTCTCACTTCCCCCCCCAGGCTCGCAGGATGTCCTTCGGAGGTGTCCGAAGGTCCGAGGAGGTTCCGAGAGGGTTCTCGTTTGCCCCCCAAGAGCGACAGACATCCGAGGCGGGGACGTATCCGTGAACGCAATCTCCTGGGGGATTGATCTTGGAAGATTTCTGAAGATGGTGGATATGGACACCTTCAGGCCTTCGTGGGACCCACGTACATCCATATCCACCGCCCGCTGGGGTCCCAGGTCGTCGGTTCCCAAGGCGGGCGAAGGGGAAACATCCTTGCTTCGCATCGCTAGGCCCCCACAGAGCGACCAGGAGGAGCCCAGGTCACCCCCAGGGGCGCGAAGAGAATCGTGAGAGCCGAGAAGCTGCCCTCCTCCAGGGGACGCGACGTGATAGCAGTTTGGTGAGCTACTCGGATCACCCCGGCGGTTGCTAAGGGGATAGGTGAGTCACACGCGCAAGCGAGCGTGAGTTTTATCAGGCCTAACCTGTCTTATAAGTGGGTGGCAAGTGCCCTAACTGTATTGACGGGTCTCGGTAATTCCGCTATGTGGGTTCCGGTCCAGATCGTTGCCCCTTTAAGCCACTTAAGTCACGTGCAGCCCTCATTTGGGGCCCTTGGGCAAGGCCAGAAGTAGCCCCCACTAGCATCCACGTATGACCCCCCTTTCCCCTCAGCAGCCCCCGCGCTGGTCGTGGTAGACGGCCCCCGAAGGCAGAAATGAAGGAAACCAGTCGGCAATGGACAAATCCTGCGACACCACGGCGCTCTGGCACACCACGCGGATCTTGTGGACTCCCTTGCCAGAGCGGGCCACGGGGTGGCAGCTTCAGGTGCCGAAGACCGCGAGCGGGAAAACGCTGAGACCAGGTCAACATCGGCGCAGCGACGACGACGACGACGGCGGACGGCGGACGGCGGACTGCGGACGGCAGGCGGCTGCGACGACGACGACGACGACGACGAGGACGACGACGAGGACGAAGCCGGGGCCGAGGACGAGGACGACGACGAAGCACCCAGGCGCGCCCGCAGCCCGAGCGGGGCCCAGGTGCCCCCCCCGCGCATTGCTCCACGCACCGCGCAGAGGCCTCGCCCCTGCGCCCTTAAGCCTGCGGCCCTACGCGCTTGGCGGCCGGCGGCAGCGGCCCCCCCCGGGCGGCCGGTGGTGGCGGCGACGCCCTCGGGCGGCCCGATGTCGGCGGTGGCGCACCAGGGCGGCGGCGTCGGCGCCCGTAGGGCCGCCGGTGTCGGCGGCGCCCGTAGGGCGGCGGCGGCGGCGGTGGCGCCGTCGGGCCTCGGAGCGGCCCGATGTGCACACGACGGTCGTTGAAGCTTTTTCTTGGGATTCCCAGATCCCAATTTACTTTGGGCGCCATCGTACTTCAAGACTCGGTGTGCTTTTGCTGCTGTGCTTCGTTCTTCTCTGGGAGTGCCTGAGCCCGATCTACTTTGTCCGCCGTCCTACTTAATGTTTTCACCTACTTCTTCCGACCGACGTGTACACCACCTCGTGTGGTCGGCGGCGGTTTCGCGTCCTCAGTCCCCGAGACCCTCCTTCGAACATGCGGCCGTTTAGAAAAGAGGGGGGTCGCGGGGATGCGGCCCCAACGGGCCGTTCGGATGCACCCCTGTCGAGAGTCGCCGCCATCCCATCGTGTTCCCGCGTTTGGCCCCAACCTGTTGGTTCACTCGAAACTCCTACGGCTGAGGTTGGGGTCGACATGAGGAGGAAGGCGCAGGGGCGGACGCCTGCACATGAGCTGCGCGGAGAGCACGGATTGCCTTAGCCCTCGCTTGCCTTCGTCATCGTATGTCAGTGCTGCAACGGCGTTTATGGCTGCATGACAGCGTTGTGCTCGTTCATGGGGAGGAAAACGTTTAGCGCCATCTTGATCCGTATATGTCCTGGGATTGACAGTCCTGGCTCGTTGTTGGTCCGTGGTGCGATGCTGTGTGGGACCCCTGATGTCAAACGGATCGAGCTCCAAAGGAGTTTATAAATTTCTTTTTTCCTTTCTCGCCTTGCCTCCCAATCGTGGACGAGGCCATTTATGTGCAGGCCTTGATATAGCCGAACCGAGCCGTGCCGACGAGGAAGAGGAGGAAAAGGATGAGGAGGGAGAGGAGGAGGACGAGTACGAGGAGGAGGAGGAGGAAGAGGACGGAAAGGAGGAGGAGAAGGAAACATCCAAAACAAGACCTGGACACCCTTCAGGATTTTCTCTCCCTCTTTGGCCGATCGCATTTCCGTCCCTCTGCGGAGGCTCTGGGGCCTCCCCCCACAAGGATCCAGGATGCGCCCGAGAAGGCCCCGGAAGGCCAAAATTGTTTCGTCCATTAAGCAAGCAATGTGTTTGGCAACGGACCCATGCAGTCATGTGTAGCGCAGAGCGTGGGTCTCTCTTCCTATATTTGCGCGCCGCGGGACAATACGGAATGATGGCTGCTGCAGAGCACGCGTGCACGGGCTCGCTGAATTCATCCTTGTGGGGCACGATCCGCGCGAAGGGTGCGCCGAATCAGTCGGATGCCCTCGCGCGAACCCGCCGAGTGAGCCCGCAGGTGGACCTCCTCCGCGCACGACCCATACAAGGCATGTTCCAAAATGGGCGGAGGGACGCGACGCGAAGTTGCCCATTGGCGCCATAGGTCGAACTCTTTCTGGAGAAACATTCGCGTGATTGGCGTGCCGACATGGGCGTGGGTGTGTTGTACGAACGTTGTCTCTGTGTTTTTAGGTGGTGCTCCTGGCCGCAATTGCCAGGGGTGGCGCAGAGCGAACCCTCTGGGGCCGTAGGTGGGAATCCCTGTGTGCCACGATCCGTGTTCGACGTGTGCCGAAGTAGGCGGGGGGGGGCGGGATGCCAACCTTGTCTCTGAGGCCGTCCAGAGATCCGTGTGACAGCTGTGCCGAGAGGTGGGCGACGCTATGAAACTTCCCGCTGGTGCCACACATCGCCTGAGGGGCGTGCCATCTTGCGAACCTTATCTCTAGGGACGAAGGTGGAGTTCCCTATGGGGCGAACTCATTGTGATGGGTGTGCCGACATGGGCAGTGGGGCGCTAAGCTAAGGTTGTATTTGGGGCTGCAGGTGAAGCTCTGAGGGGCACGACCCGTGTCACTATATATGTTTCTTATGCCGAACGCGTTATATTCCAGCTAGAGCACGGTAGAACCTAAGCGCGCGCGAAGCGCGCGCGGGTCAAATATATGGTTGTTTTTATGATTGTATGTGTGCATGCTTAGGTGTGTGCGTGCAAGTCTGCATGCCTCTGTGTATGCGTATATACAAACATTCAAATATGGAGGTGTATGCAAATATAAGTATGCACCTACGTACGTAGGTACGTATACATGCATGCATGGTGTATGTGTGTATGCATGCACCTATGTATGTATACATGCATGTGTGAAAGAGTGGTTGAATGCACACATGCATATATTTATGTAAGTACGTATGTATGCATGTATGTATGAGCACATGTATGTATGTATGTATGTGTGTATTTAGATGTGTATGCATATGGGCTTACGTGTGCATATGTTTGCATAGCCGTGTGTACGTATGTGCGGTTAAATGTCTTTATGCATGTATACATGTCTGTGTGTAAGTCTGCATGTATGCAAAATTGCGTATGAATGTGTACGGATGCGTGGATGTCTATCAGTGTGTCAGTCTGTCGGCTTGTCCGTTTGTATGTATGTGTGCGTGCAGTTATGTACGTTTGCATTTATGTGTGTATGTACGTGTGTATGTATGTACGTATGTATGCGTGCATGTATGCATGCATGTATGCTTGTATATCTAGATACTTGTAGATATGCATGCATGCATGCATGCATGCACACATGTATGTATGTATGTATGCATGTATGTATGTATGTGTGTCTGTATGTATGTATGTATGTATGTATGTATGTATGTATGTATGTATGTATGTATGTATAGATGTATAAATGTATATATGCATGCACGTATGTATGCATGCATACAAGCATGTCTGAATGTATGCATTTGCGTCTATTTGCCTGTCAGTACGTCTGTCGGTCTGCCTGTCTGCCTGGTATCCGGTAATTTGTAAGTACATAGATATGTGTGTATAGATGTGTGTGTATGTATGCACATATACTTCTATGTTATTATGTATACACATGCATTTATTGTGATATACTTGTACATGTATATCCACATGTATATGTATGTACATTCATGGTGAATATATATATATATATATATATATATATATATGTATGTATGTATGTATATGTATATGTATATGTATATGTATGTGTATGCATGCATGTGTGTATGTACAGCTTTATATATATATAATATATATATTTATATATATATATATATATATGTGTGTGTGTGTTCACGCACATCCGCCGCCTGCTGATGTCGTCTTGCAGTTAGGGATCCCCGCTCAAGCGGGCTTTCGCCCTTGTAAGGCTTCGGGCTGCGCACAGGCAGGCCCCCCAGGTGGTCCCGGCTGGCCTCTACGGGTCCCCAGAGTGGTCAAGGGCAGTCTCCAGTTCAACGCCCCAACCGTTCGGCGCCGAGCGCCCCAGGGGCGCCGCCGCAGGCGGCGCCATGGTGTTGTTAGAGACCGCCTGAGGCCAGCCGGAACCACCTGGGGGTCCTGTCTGTGCGCAACCCGAGGCCTCGCCATCTCGCCCACCTCGGGAACGGGCCGGGCGACTGCCGGAGCGCGCCAGTTCGTCTCGCGCGCCTGCCTGGAAGCGCCAGGACGGGGCGGCCGAGAGGGACTACGCGGACCGCCAGAGGCAGCTGCTGGTGCTGAGGCGGGCGGCCCCTCTTCGGAGATCGGCTCAGGGGGAGACGGGGGCTTGCTGTGGGGCTTCTCATTGAAGCATCCCGCTTGGCTGTGCGGGAGGCCCCTTTGGATCTCAGGGGAATCTTAGGGGGTAAAGGAGTAAAGGGGGCCAAGTGGGGGGGAGGGGGCAGGGGTAAAGGAGTAAAGGGGGTCAAAGGATAAAGAGGGTAAGGGGGGGTAAGGGGGTTAGGGGTAAGTGTTAGGGGGTAGAGGTAGGGGGTCGGGGGTAAGTGGTAGGGGGTAAGGGTAGGGGCGGGAGGTAAGGGGTAAGTGGTAGAGGGTAAGGGTAGGGGATAGTGGGTAAGAGGTAAGGTGTGCGGGGTAGTGGCAAGGAGAAGGGGGTAAGGCGGTAAGGGGGTAAGCGGGTACAGGGGCAAGGGGCAGGGGGTAAGGGGTACGGGGGGTAATGGGCTAATGGGGGTACAGGGTAAGTGTTAGGGCTGCGGAGGGGAAGCGGGGTAAGGGGGTAAGGGGTGTAATGGGGTTAGGGGGGTAGCGGGCAGGGGTACGTGGGCGAATGGCAGAAGGGGAAGTGGACGAGAAGGGAAAGCTGCAAGGGATACATACAGGGGAAAGGGGTATGGGGTGGGGGGCAAGGGAAATGGAGGTGGACAAAGGAGGTTGGCTCATGGCCCCGGGTGCGCATTTCATATACCGCAGGCCGTCGATTCTGCGTGTGCGACTGGACACATGAGGGGTTTTTCCTTTGGTTGGTCGATGCCTGCCGTCTTCCGACTGCCCTCGCCGTTGCGTTTGGCTCTGGCATCGCCGCGGCCGCGGGCGGGTCGCCGATTCCCCCCCTATCTCAAGTATCTCCATTCCCCGATTTGCTTTGGCAATTTCGTTTCATATTTTATTGGTTGTTGACGTAATCTGGGTTGCCTTCACCCAAATCCCTCCACCCTTGCCCGTCCCACCCCCGCCCCTGCCCTCATTCCGCTCACGCCTTCGTTTCTGCCCTTCTCTCCAAACTCCCCTTCTCTTTCGCCCTTCGCCTTGCTGGCGCGCCAGCGCGGATGCATGAACGCAGCTGCGCCCCCTCGCCCCCGGCGGCGGCCGCCTTGTGGGCCGCGGGCCAGGCAAGTGGACGGGCGCCGTTTCATTCCCGTTGCTGTGCGCCGCGAGCGCATGCGTGCTGCTCGCTTCGCAAAGAGGGCGAAGCAGGAATTGCGCAGGCGACAGGCCGCCGATCGACGGGCTGTGCCCTTGGCCGAGGCATGGGATTCCACGCAGTTGCGCATAGCCGACCATGCGGCTACATTTTCGAGCACGCCGAAGAAGGGTGGACACTTGAACAAACTCAGCATCCACGGGACCTTGAAGACCGCGTTCTCTCTGGTTCAACCGAGCTTGATGGGCACGAACAGGTACATCGATGCGAGAGCAACTGTGACGCATGCGCACATTCAGATGCAACGTTCAGACTTGGATTCCATTACGCACAGTGGGAAGTGGTTGTTCATCCAGAGGTGCTGCGACCCGAGAGCAACTGTCAAAGTACGGCGTGCGATGCGGGAAGCACGGCGTCATTGATCTGTTCCAGGAGACAGTCGTGTGCGCGGGGCCGGCGGGGAGACTTGAACGGTTGTTGCCTACCCGAATCCTGAAGGGCAAGAACGCTCGATTCATGTTTGAGGCACGCTCCCGTTCTTTATGTGTCGCTGCCGCTGTCCATTCCCTGCTCTTTTCATGATCTTACTGCCCCCCCCATCCCTTTTTCGCTCCGCCGCCTGCCGCCTCTCAGCGTCGGCAGGCGCTGGACAGCCCGTTGACTGGGAGCTTCTGCGTGGATGCGGTAAGGTCTCTGGCGTCGCTGAAGGAACTCGCTATTCTATCGGACGCTGCCGACGCGGGGAGCAGCAACGTCAAAGCGTTGACATGCGTAGGGATGAATTTGCCAGCTAATGTTCTATACATTGCGACAAAATGCATGATACATCAGATTTTTCGAAGCGTGGTGGGGGTCCTTCAAGATCTCGGGATGATGCAAAACATGTTTTGCGCTGTAAAAGTCGTACACATTCAATCTCGCAAAGCAGTTGCTGATGGCGTCGAAGGCAGTGGTTGAGCAGGACCTGGAGGATGGAGGCTACCTACCCGGTTTCGAACCTCCAGAGGGCCGTGCCGAGATATCACGGTGGTTTGTAATGAAGTTATGGTGGGGCGGCGGTTCAGGGGCGATCCAGGAAAAGTGTTCGCAGGGCCTTGAGAAGCTGTAGTTCCGGAGCGCGGCAGCGCCATCTTGGAGTTACTCAACGGGGGTTGGCCCATCAAGCGGGCGACCCACCACTGCAGAGGCAATTCGTGCAGTTGCGGAGGTTCCAGAGAAAAGGCTGCGGATTCTTTGGTGGATTTACTTTCGTGGCTGGTCGTCTACAGCCTTCCAGCCAGTCCGAGCTTCTCAAGGCGGGGCGACGGGGGTGGATGAGTCTTCAGTCTCTTATGATGTGCCCCCTTGCTTCCCCTCAGCCCTCCATTCCCTTCGCCTTCCATCGTTTCCTCTTTCGTTGTCCCTCTCGCCATGCCGCCCCGATGGTGGCCTCGTGAGATCGAGAGCGAGGCCGAGTGAGATCGATAATGGGATGCGATGCGAGGTCGACAGTGAGCCCTGCTGTCAGATATGCTGCGAGATTGCTCGCGAGATCTGTAATGGAATATTCAGTGATATCGATAGTAAGATCAGGCAACCCGCGAACGCTGCGCGCGCACAGACGCCACACCCTCAAACTAGGATGCCCACGTCTCTCCGACGCCCTTAAACGTTCCTTCTTGGGTGTTGTTGATCGCTGCTCCGTTCTCTCACCGTTGCCGTGCCAGCGTTTCACGTCGCAGGTGGACTACGCTCGGCCCGTGCTGCGCGTGGTTGGCGCTCGCCGTCGTGGTCCACGGCCTCCTGCAGCGATCGTGGCAGCGGGCTTTTGGCCGTGCTGGGAACGCAGAGGGCAGCGTCAGCGTCGACGATGCTGGACAGGCTGATTTTTCTGTCATCCTGGGCATTCGCATTGGGGAGGCCATGAAAATGTTCAAGGATGATGCGCAGTTGCAGCGGGCCGTTACCGCGGCTGTTCTGACAGAGCCTATGGACGAGTTACTTTTGAGTTTCTTGGACCTTGACGAGAAAGGACCCCCGCTTGACCCGGCCCTGAGGACAATGGAAGAAGGCAAGGATGATCACGGCGAGGAGGAGGTGGAGGAGGAGGAGATGCAGCCCCTTCGCCTTCGGTTTAACCCTCGGCCATATTTCCAAGTCCCAGTAGGGTCGCCCTCTCAGCCCCCCCCGCGGCGGTACTCGCCGCCCAAACGAACGGTCTGCAAGTGCGATCGTTTCCGCGCTGAGACGTGCGGCCCTTCTGCGGCCATCCCCCATCCAGGTTTTCTTCCCACTTGCACAGAGGTTTATCGATGCCACCCGCTGGGGTAGATTCTCAAACGTTGCAGGTCGCACTTGTTGCTCTGGCGGCGTTGGAGCGGCGCCCCTCACTCTTATCCGCCGCCGGGGCCCCCCTCAAGCTCACCCGATTATCCGCCGCGCCATCCTCGCCCCGCCCTGGCCCTCGACCTCCCGCGCCCCTCGTCGCCCTTTGAAGGGCGCCTGCTGCTGGACATGGTCACGTCGACGATGTCCTCCGTCAGGAAGGTCCAGCGAGGTCTCGTCAATGAGCTCGCCATGGCCAACGCGGGGGGGGGGATTCCGGCCCGACACTTCAGTCTTCGAGGTGATGCCGAGGATAAGCTGTATACTTGCATGCGAAGTGCCACGCTTGCCCTATCTGGTGCGGTCTATCACAGGCTGGATCTGGCGCCTCAATACCCATGCAGGCTCTTGGAGTCTATTGCCCCTGGCGTCGAGCAGGACGACCGAGCGACCCGCGTGATGCAGCATCTCTTGGATTCCAATGCTTGCTGCCTGGGCCCGCACTTCTCAGAGCGTCTCCGCAGTTGGGCGCGGGGTGACGCCGCGGCGCAGCACGGCAGTCCGCTGCGCGCGTTGCTGTCCACAACGGTGAAGGAAGTGCTGCAGGAGTGGGCCAACACCGCGAGCATGTCTGTTGGTCACGTTGAACGCCTACATTCTGTTTTCAAGCACTTGATCGACCGCAGCGGTAGGCGCCCGACCGCCGAGGGCTTTGTCTGGCATGGTTATCTGAGGCGGCTCATGAGGGCATATGTGGAGGAGGGCGGCATCGATTTCACTTTAGCTAAGAACGATGTCATCAACGCTCGGCGCCTGGGCCTGACCACTCGCCAGGACGCCGAGCGAAACGCTGTTGGGCAGGGCAGCCGGGCGCGGGCCCAGAACTTGTCAGTTGCTTTCGTCAATGCGAAGTCGGGGGTCGCCAAAGCTTCCAGAGGCGGCGCCAGCCGGAGCGCTCAGGGTGAGACTGGCGCTCGCGCGCAGTGGAGATGCGAGTTTTTGAATGCGCCCGATGACGTGGTGAATGACTACTTCAGGGCCCACGGCGCGCCTCGGGCCCCCCCTCGTGCCGACGCGGGCGACGCCTTCGACGACGGCGGCGCCGTCGAGTCGGGCTGGGCGCCCAGGCGCGCGGATTTGCTTGACATATTGGCGGGCTCGGGCGATCATTTCGGCAACGGCGAGCCCGCTGCGGACGTGGACTTGCACGATGTCTTGGCGGGCGGGACATGCCCCCCGCCTCCGGCCGCGTCGCCCGCTGCCAGGCCCGCCGCTCTCCAGCGCAGCCGAGGGGCGCGCTTTGCAGATGCGTGCGACAGCACGTGGCCGATCAGCGCTGAGAAGTTCATCGATCATATCAAACGGACTCGCGGCGACGCGGGCAGCAATTACACTCCTGGAATTACATTGACCTCAGGCAGAATCCGACAAGAACTTCGATCCATGATGCTTGTCGCCGAGACAGACGGCGCCCCCGCGCCTCAGGAGCCAGTAGTTTCGCGGCAACCCTGCTGCCGCAAGCACTTGGGTTTGTGTTGTTCCCGTGACGAGGACATCTATGACGACGCGTTGGCCATGGCTGCATCTCTGAGATCCTTCGTCGCGGACGTCGAGGCTGGCGAGTTCATGCGGCTCCGCGCTATTGTCGCAGGGGCCCCGCCA